CCCGTGAGACCGCGCTGTCGTCGCCACTGGGCCGCTCCCCGCAACGGGGAGGGGCACAAGACACCTGGCCACACATGACATTGATGACATCGCCCTCTTGCTGGTGTTCACGCCATCTGGTACTTGGTCCTACTCTGAATTTGGGCACGTGAACAAGTACTTGTGAGTGGACTCTGAGAGGCTGGTTTAGTTTACAGTATATAGTAAACGCGACTTCTTGTTGCCTTGCTGGCAACCACGTAGTTCGCGTGTCTCACGTTTCTGGGTGGCATAATTCGTTTGCTGCATGTTTTTGTCTTTATTGTGACACAGTGGGTTTTTACCACTGTGTCCTTGGCAAATCCCTTGTGGTTTTTCTTGTTGGGCTCTGGCCCCGTTGGCTGTTTGCTTTGCTGTCTTTCGAATGGTAAGACGCAAATCTGGCTGGGGGATCTGCGTCTTACCCTGTTTTTGGTTGTTTGTGTGTTGGTTGTTTTTCAGGTTATGATTTGCCAAGCTTCATGTGACCACCTGCGTCCATGTAGTAGTTTTCTTACCAACAGCTTCGTCTCATGTAAGGACCGAGCCTTAGAGCGTGATCGGCCAAACTAGAGGAAAAAAAAAGCTATGTCACTGATCAATACACTTCCTTGTGCATAGCAGTACATCTCCGAGAAAACGAAGGATCGAGAGAGGACCAGCTGAGAATTGGCTATCATCATTACCTTCCGGGGGGAGCAATGTCCCTTGCGACGGTTGTTGAGATCATGATTAGATTCGGGCCCGAACCAGCAGGCTTTTTGTCCCACTTCAGCTTAAAGCAAACCCCGTGTGCTTGCTATGGGCAATGGTAATTTCTCTTGCAACTATGCTGCAGCCCGGGATCTTCAATTGCCATGTCGTTCCCTCCAGCTTTGAGACTTAAATGAGATTCTTTCCCACAACTGAATGTGCTTGTCAACGTGAACGTTGGCTCAAGCCTGCGAGAGCGAAAAGTGTGTGAATGTGTTGCGTGTCACGGTGAGACGGCCTGTGAGAGTCGAGACTGCAGAAAATTCTTACTGTTTGTTTTGTTTTGGTTTAGGTTTGCTTCGAGCACAAGAAACGGTGTTCGCGATCTAACTTTGTGTGTCAAAGTTGTGCCTTGCCACCTCCCTCCAAGAGGATCAACAAGAGTAAGAGCAAGCAGAAGGGGAAGGATCAATATGGTTGCTCTTGTCAGCAACGCTGTTGACAACGGTTCTACTTCGGGTAACTTGATGCAATATGTCGGTGCCTTGGAGGAAAGCATTGCAGACTGCTTTTCACGTCAGGAGCAAAAAAGGTTTGTGAGGACAGTGGGCCCTCCGGTTCCATGAGAACCTTGAGGCCGTCATCGAAAATTTATCCACGGACTTTGAGGAGGACTTGAAGCATCTGAAGGGCCTCGCGGACATGAAGCATGGGGCCACTTTGAAAGTGAGGCTGCTTCTTGCTGAAATGGTGGCAACCCAGGGTTGAAATTTACAACATGTAGAACAATGCTCTACTTTTTCAATTTGAAGTTTGATATCTGATCACACCAGGCATTGATTGCGGCGAATCGTGATGACACAGTCAGCGCCGTCAAAGCGATGCATGGGATTATGTCAAAGAAGTTGCAACCTTCAGTATGTGTCTGTAGGACGTTTGCTGGACAAGACTTCTGAGCATGAGGGGGCACCACGCGAAAGTTTCAAGCAATATGTTGAGAGTTTTGACTCAACCAAATAGGTCAGAGTCACAGCTTCCTGTGAGTTGGGTTTTTTTGTTTTGGAACATGCACTATCACTATCTGATGTTCATTCTATATTTATATATAATATATCACTGCCCTATCCGGCATCGAGCATCCTTGAAATCAACAATGTTGTTTTGATTTTATATTACCTGTCATCTCCATCATTATCCGGGGCCTGGGGCTCAGTACTGAGGGTGGTGGGGCGAGTGCCTCACAGAGCCACCAATTTAATCCAAGTCATACAAAATTTATCCCAAAGGAGTTTTGGATGCGGGATTTGGAAATCTTAGCTGGCTGTGACAGACATCAACCTGATTCTTCTGTTGTCAATTATATTTGATGAAGGAATCAATTAATCGCTAGTAAATTGGTCAGGGGAACATTCAATCTCCACCACCAAGCATGGCTCAGTAGAGAACACCGTGTGGCGAGTGTCTGAAAGATCCACAAATCTAATCCAAAGGTTCTGGTTGTTTATGTTTCGGTCAGTTTAGAGTCTAGACTTCAGACTAGACTTTCGGTTGTTACTGTAGATTGTTTGACTTGGAAATCTTCGCTGCTTGTTGCTGTGGTTCTGCTGTCAAAGCATGAATTTTTTGGTCGAGGGAACGCTCCACCACCAAGCATGGCTCAGTAGAGAAAGTGGCACGGCGAGTGTCTGAAAGATCCACAAATCTAATCTACATACCCTAACCATAACCTTTTCCAAATGTTCTCATTGTTGGTGATGTTGGAGTTTGCGTCAGGCATTTGGTCTGAAATCAAATTGGTCAGTTGTTGTCAAATCATTCGCTAATTGGTCCAGGGGACACTCGAGCTCTGCCACTCCGCAAGAAACCGGACGATGCAAATCGCCGCCCACAAAAAGTTGGATGCGCATGCAGTGCTCGCGCATGATTCATGAATGACAAGGTGAGATAAAAATTGAAACTATTGAAATTCTAAGACCCATTTCATGGCAGCAACACCCGCCATAACACGTCATAAAGTGTGCCAATACAAGCGGCAGTAGCTACTCAGCGCACGTGGCAAAAACAGCTTCCAAGTGTGGCAGTACAACTGGCAGCAATACTCTTGAAGTGTGGCAGCACACGCGGCAGCAACACCCTTGAAGTGTGGCAGAACACGTGGCAGCAACACCCTTGAAGTGTGGCAGAACACGTGGCAGCAATATCCAAGAGCGTGGCAGTAACTAGTCAAACCATGTGCCAGCATGTGGCAGCATCCCCGTGTGCCCAAACATTTATGCTACAGAAAATCCTGGTAGAGCAACCTGCCAACAATTAAAGCACCAACATGAATTTTCTGACTTCGCTCATGAACTCCCTTCCAAAAGCAATTTCTCATCGAGTTTTCCCTTCACTGTCTTTCAAGAATGCAGACATGGCTGTTGCAACGTAGGAGCAGGCTTGAGGCCAGAGCTGGGGTCTGGCGGCAACACTTGCTTGCAGACACAACGATCTGGCAATCTCCTGAAACATTCTGATTTCACGCTCCAAGACTGAATTGTGAGGGAAACGTGCTGGCACTGAACTCTCTCTGGCAACCAATTGTTTTCAAAAACAGCTTTCAAAATTTCTCCTGCAGCGTCTGACTGAACAATGGTACAGGGGCTTGATTTCAGGCCCACAAAATGCTTGAGATTGGATGCGAGCTGGCATGCCTCTCTTGAAATTGTCGGATAAGCTGGCAAAACCTTTGAGAAACAATCTTGAACGATCAAAACTGCATGCTGAATACCTTTCGAAGACTTAAAGACAATAAAATGGTCGCCCGCCAACTGTTACCGAAAAGCATCTGGTTCTGAAAGATCAAGTTCTTCATTGACTACTACTCTCCTACTTTTGACCCTTTTGCTGTAAAGTCTGGCCCTGTTACAAACATCACACGTGGACAATTTTGGAAAGTGAGTCAAATTGTGATCAAATGGAAGAGGAGCTAAAATCTCATGTTCCACGGATGCAGGATCGCTTGGCATTCCAGGATCTGAACTGGGCTCACCTCAACGGCTGGCCCTACTGACGAATTGTCAGGAAATACGACCGGCTCCGCAGCAAGATCTGGAGGAGACAAAGCATCGACATCACCAGCTCCGGGAGTGGGTTCTGCAGGGAATCCGGGTATCACTGTGAAATTGTTTCGAAAGAACGGAACGTTCTGAGTGACTCTTGATGCATAAAACTTGTTCGCCTCATTATCATTGATGTGGCACTTAGAGGGGTCACGAACAAGAAAGGGCTTGGAGCCCGGAAGCCACATGAAACCTAATCCATTCTGCCCTACATCAAGGCCAATTGATCTAACCGTTGGGCATGAACCCAAAGAGAAATGGTTGGCATCACCTAAAATTCCATCTTGGTCTTGGAACCCAATGGTATTGGACGATTTCTTGAAACCACCGCTTGTGAAAAAAATCAATTTCTCATGGGAGTCATTGGCAACTTCGGACAAGAGGGAGCTGTGATACCCCTGTTCCTGCAGAGCTTCGTACGGCACCAAGTGTCGACCTGTGCCAGTGTCAGCGGCCGACTCAAGAGACCCGATGGCCTGAGACGGAGTGGCAAAAGAACCCAACGCCGCAACGATGTCGACCGTTGCTGCGACTTTCGGTGCCGCAGGCTTTGGCTTGGCTTTTGAATCGGCTTTTGAGTTTTGGGCTTTGCAGGAGGGGCTTTCACATGACTACATTGGCATTTACCTCCATGAACACGACAATTGGGCATTCGATGGGATATGCATGGAGTCTTTGCGTTTTCCTCAACCGACATCGGCTTTCCGGGTTTTCCCTTTGACTTCTGGGTGGCCCTTTGGGGGCGTCTTTCGGCTTTGGAGAGCTAACTGCGGCAGCTACAGAAGGCGTGGCAGGAGAGGCGTTTGCAGGGACTGCTGAGGTCTTTGCCTTATAGGCTTCTCTCCTTTCTTTGGACTGCGAGGGATTGCTCAATGGATCGAGCATTCACATCTTCACGCTCCTCAGGTAAAAACGCCTGCAACTTTTCCCAAAGGCAATCAAACTCCAGCATTGCATGATTGAATTTTCCGGGGATCGCTTGATCTTATCAATCACCCTTTCCAAACGATGCACGGTTCGAAGCTTGTGGAAAAGAAATTCACCCAGCATTGCCAAGCATTCTCTGATTTGGCCACTGTTCACTGTTCAGTTGGGATTTGGTTGAGGACCCTCATGACGTTGGAAGAGAAATTTTGCAAATCGGACACGGGTGCCCTTTCAGCCCAACCAAAAACCCCGACTGGGACGCAATCAGCGGCCCTCGGAAATCATTTGAATCACTGCCCTGCCACGAGGTGCAATACCTTGAGGAGTGCAACCCTCAGCAAAACCTTGAACTTTGAATTGCAACTCCCGAACACCTCTCAAACCTTTGATGAGTTCCGATGTAAGCCAACGGCCCAATCTTGGGACAAGACCTGACGAGTTGGAACATTCCTGAGCTGAGTCTACCTTAAAGGCAACGGCAATCCATGAAGTGAGATAGTCATTCCCACTGATGTCGAGACGGCCTAACATCAAGATCATGGGGTTTTTCCACATTCTAAAGTCAGCTGCATTGTTGTGCAATGGCTCCAGCTTTGCACTTTGAAGGGCACGACTGTCAACGATATCCCTTTCAGTTTTCTCTTCAACAAGTTCCTCATCACCCCTCATCCTCTGGCCAGTCACCGTCCTCAGGAGGTGGTGCAGGAGGGCCAACTGCAATCCGAAGACGTGGAGGCTTCCGTACCATTGTGCTCATAGTATCCGTATCCCATTCTGTCTGACAAACGCTGATTGGCTGCCATCATTGAATCCATTCTTTGTTCCATTGATGATTGGAAAAGATTGGCATGGGGCTCGTTGGGAACTTCGACAACACGATCTTCAACAGCCCCGCTAAGAGCCCCTGATGCGACATCTACCGGTGCAGACGTCCTTCGTGCCTCAACTCTTGCTGCCACGGAAGAGGGAGCGGCGCTTAGAGCAGCCAGGCTCTCCTCAAGCCGGGCTTCACTCGATTGGAGACGGGAAACTTCGGAAATCAGGCGTGTAATCTCAGCAGCCTTATGACCAAACAAATTCTGGAAATTGTACATCTGGGACTCAAACTGGGTAATCTGAGACACCATGACTTGATTGCGGTTGATCTGAACTTCAAGTTGGTCTCGGGTTGACTGAACTTCCATGTGAAGTTTTTCAATCTCAGAGGTCTTGGAACAGTTGGTTTGATACAAACTTTCAGCAACATTCACAAGCTCTTGAATGCGAATGCAGGCTTGCTTGTACACTTCTTGGGCTAATTGCTCTAAACCCTGGACCTTCTCTTCAGATTCTTGGATGACCCGCCGGGCTTCAGACACCATATTTGAGAAAACCATGGGATCTACTCCAACATTGACTTGCTGGGGTCGCTGATCATGATATTCGAAGGTGTTGTGAATACAAGTCTGGGGTCCACTGGAATCCTGGAAGGAAAGTCCGAAGGCAACTGCGATGGTTGGGATTCTGAACCAACTCCATGACCAGTTGAAACAACAGCCGAGTGCCTACCAGAGTCATGAGCCTTTGGCATATTGTTGATAACTTGTGACATGTTGCGTCTTCCTTGTCCCTGCCCTTGCAAACTTTTGGAACGGGCACGCCGAGGTGTTGATACGCACTTCAGTTGGACCTTTGAGGATACGCACTTTCGGTTGGACCTTTGAGACGACGCTTCTCCAACGGCAGCTGGAATACCCATGGATTCACTGCTAACGTTCAAACTATCAAAATTCGATGTGGGATCTGAGCTTGACATCTGAACCTACCACCGCAAGTCCCAAAGAGTCTCGATACTACCTGCCACGGCGCTGACGCAGCCAAACAGCAGGGGCGAAAGATTCAAACACAAATCAAATTCGGATGCTTGAATTCCAAATGCAAACCACGGCAGTGAAACTAAGTTAGCCGTGAAGCTGACCCAACTGTGAAACATTGATACGGTCTTGCACTTGAAAACTTGATCGGCTGCTGTGAAACTCACAACTTCGGAGATCACCCTTCTTGATGAAATTGGTTTTCAAATCAACGCAGCGAAATTTGAAAGACGTCACATTGCAGTGATGAAACTTGGCTTTGGGCAATCGGCTGAAAGCAAATCAAACCACAATAACGAAAGACCGGAAATGGGAATCAAATGAAACTTCAACGGATGGTTAGTCTCAAAAGATGCAAATCCAAAAGTGCGATACTGTTGGGGTGGTGCCGCAGCAGCCAAACGCCCAAAGGCTGAGACGAATTGGAACTCAAATGCTAAGTGAAAACACTGAACGCACCAAGATTGTCCTTCTACTGCTGTGACTGGTGATAATGGATGAACCTCTCAAAACGATCAATCACCGAATCTTCCGACACAGACCACGTGCTGTATTCCCAGCCCAACACCTGAGGTTGTCGAAGTTTACGCACTTGAAGGGCAATCTGACTGTCCTCTTGGAAATCGAGAATACTGCGCCGCCGTCACAAGATTCAACGTGCCTTGGAGGTAATGCATCCTCACCATGGACGCAAGGACTTCTAGGCGCCCTCTGACCTTCAGAAATGAGATTTTAGGGGTCAAACAAAAGCAAACTACGGCCGATAACCAATTTAACTAATTTAACTACTATGAATGATTACCCCAAAACCCAAAACCACAGAAAAAACAAATTTACCGCGCTCACCGGGAGGGCAATGGCAGCGGCCTTGTTTTACCATCTTGAGCCAAAACAAAAGTAAATGCGAATGTGTTGACCCGAAGGGAAGGACACAACTAAATTAAACATATGAAAACATGGGTATGGTAAACTTCCATTTCTTTCAAATTTAAGTGTGGCAGCGTGAAAAAATCAGCAAACATATTTTTTCTCGGACACATGTTTCCAAAAACATTTGCAAAAAAATGTTTTAATTTTTGTGTATTTGATGTTGCGGGTTGACCATTATCAACTATTTCTGCCGCTTTGTTTCGCATTGTCAACTTCATGAATGTCGATAACCTTTGTTTCGTTCAGGAGGTCTTCGGTTTGACTTTGCCGTTGTTGATGGGATGCCATTTAAATCCATTGCGGCGGGAATGGAAGTTCCACTGGTGTTTATTCCTGCATTTGGGCGTTCGTCATGCTTGTTTTTTTGAATTCATGGGGTGAAATCAATAAAAATGGGTTTGGTCTTGATTGTTTTTCTTTGAATTTGGATTGCCGACCTCGCCACCTTTGAACATTAAACTTTCTATTCATGAATTTTGGTGATTCGTGATCCGCAGTTGCAAACCCAACAGTTCCACTTGCGATATGCGCTGATGAGTGACGTCTGGATGGACAACCAGCAGGCGCAACAGTTGTTGATGCTGTGGTCGGTTTTGACTTTGCTGAATGATTGTCTTGGATTAGGCAATCCTGTTTGCCGCCAATGCATTTCGTTGCAGCCTCATTTTTTTGTTTTTTTTTTTCACCTGACCCAATTTGCAATCAATCAATCAATGTACTTGGACGTTTTTTTGAAAAACATGTTTTTGGTTTCCTTCACTTCACTTTGGAATTCCAATCAAAGATACTGAAGGTGATGCTTGTGCCGAAGGGCGCTGGGCTGATGCACGCTGTGCAGCAGTTTCACTGAAATTTTCAGTGTTTTCCCCAGTTCGTTGTGTAGCAAAAATGACTGCAGTGTATGACACTTGCTGCCAATCATTGGTGTAACCCCAGCTATGTTGCCTGCATCAAGGCCGCACATGCTTCGGAGGATTCTGATGGCATCATGGATTTGGGAAGACAAGAAGGCCTGGTCGTTCTCAAAACCATGACCATTACGATGAACACTTTGTTGACGATGGCGAAAAACAAAACCAAAACCAAAACACAAAAATAACAAAAAGAGAAACGGAGGGAAACACTTAGAATCCAAAATAAAGTATGATGATTATGGTTATGATGATTATGATGATGATGATGATGATGATGAGGTGGAGGAGGAGGATGAGGAGGGGGAGGAGGAGGATGAGGACGACTACGATAATGACGTGGTGGATGTTGTCTATGAGTATGGGTTGGCATGGATTGGCAATTCTAATATATGATTGATTGAAAGTGATCCCCCCAGACGAGGCAAAGAGGACTTTGATCAGAAAAATACAAACGGCCTATTGTACCAAGGTACGGACTCAGCGAAAAGGTCTGATGTTCTTTGGTTTGCAGCCTCTTCCGCAACTGCCCCAGGTTTGTGCGTCATTAATTGGGTTCCTCAATTTGGTTGCCAAAAAAAAAACACAAACGCAAGAAACCATGGCCTTGTATTGTCTTTGAGGCGAGGTCTGGATTGTTGAAAATGTTAGCCGCCTTTTCTGCGCGCCTGGTACTCACTTGGCACAGTTTCATTTTTTGAACGAGCGAATCACTTGAAGCAGACTGATGGACTTTTTGATGATTTTCCTCTCAATGTAGACTCCGAGTCTTCGCCATTTTTCACTAAGGCGTCGCACGCGGACCTTCTCAAGAGCTGGCATTGGCAGCCGTGGCTGCCTGCACAGCTATGTTGCCGGAGGCAGCTGGCAAAACTATCTTCATACTATGTCCTTGCAAGTACGTTGACTGGCTAGATTGCATGTTCTTGCAATTGTCATTGTTTGTTCTCGTAGTTCCTCTTTGCTTCCTTCAAGGCAAGTCCGATTGCCTGCACAACTCAAATTTTCTCGGCTTTCGTAGACGCCTGATGGCTGCGCAGGTATGGCCTGCTGGAGCGGCAGATGATCTATTGAGTATCTTCCCAAATAAAAAATTCTAAGGATCTAAGGATCTGTCAAGTCCAAGAGTCAGCCTTTTCGCAACTTTTTTAAGCTGAGGTATGTCGGGTGTTCTCAGTTTGCTACTCCGGGCGGCCGCTACTGTGAGTCGCACAATGCCAGGCAAGAAAAGATAATTCTACATGAAAAGGTTGTGTGCTGCGCGAATCAGTGCAGGAATGGGTGGCTTCGCAACATTGAGGGTTCGAGCCTTTGCAGTGCCAAGTCATCAGCTTCGAATTACACACACACACACGTGTACATCCTCACATGAGTCATTTTATCCAACTTGATGAATTTTAATCTCCAGAGGAAGCCGTGCAAAATTTTTTCCTTCACCATACAGGCGGCAGTTCTTCAAAAGGGGTGGCATCTTTGTTTTCCATGTAAAAAATGTCACAAGTAAATCAAGTGGTAAGGCCTGCCGAGCGGCTGCAGAACTTTTGACCGTTGAAAGCTTATGGCCCACGAAATGATATCTTCTCAGTGAAGAAACCTTGCATCGATAGATTCTGTTTGAGCTGCTGATCCATTGTTTGACTCAGGAATTGTTAGAGGCATCTGCTCCAGATTTGAGGCTTTCATCTGAGGTGAGGCGTAGGATGGGAACTGCAAGAGGAGAAAGGTAAAAAGAGTGCCTCAAAACAGGCAACCAAAATCAAAAGGCAAGAGGCCCGAAGAGGCCAAAACAGGAAGTTGGAGGAGTTGGAAAATACGAAAATACTGGCTGTCAGCCCGGTCAGCCCGGTCAGCCCGGTCAGGCCGCACTGCTGAGGGACTCGACTCTTGCAGCTCCAATGCAATGTCTTTCGGAAGCCTTGCTGGGTCCTAAGTGGGTGAACAACTGAGCGAAGAGCCAAGGACTCCTTTGTCAAGCGCACCGAAAGTTATGCATCCTTTCATATGTTTTCCATTTATCCGTAATCTCTTTCTCTTTCAATCGTGCTGAAAAGTGGACAAGAAAGTAGGCAGTCCCAATGCCATGTTTTGCCACAGTGGGTCATGGGCGAACCTCTGAGAGCCAAAGTGCAAACTGGGAACAAATAGCAACTTCATCTTGCCTCAGGCGTGTGGAATAATGCAGGTCCTGTAGAACACAAGTGAGACACAGTTGCATTCTCTTACAAACTACACATATATATATATATATAATTATATATATACACATCAAATAATAACATTCCCTTGTCCTGGGTTCATCTCGGTTCATCTCGGTTCATCTCGGTTCATCTCCGTTCGATGTCAGTGTCAAGCAGTGTGAAGGCGCTGCATTCTTCGCCTGACATGTGAGAAATGTGTGCTGAGGCTGAGTGTGCATCCAGATCCTCGACTCAACGAGGCCAGTTTTTGACAGCACTGGGAGCAATGAGGGTAGCAGGGGTCAAACAGGTTAGAGTCATTACATGTCATTACTTAGCTGTTGAAAAGCAGTGACAGGAAGAGTCATGGATGCTTTTGGAGAGTTGGGGGAATTCAGAACAAGTCACCAAAGAAAAGATGCTGTACTTCCACTCAAGTTACCTCTAGTTCTATGCTAGTCCATTGTCCCTATGCATATGCTTGTGTGCTTGCGGCTGGATTCTAGGAAAAGAGGCTTTCAGAGTGGAAGAATCGGTTCTGCACAGTGCTTTCAGGGCAGAACCAAAATTGGACAAGCGAAGCGTGTTACAGGCACAAATGTGTAGAAAGAGAAAGAACAATTTGATTTCCTGTCTTGGTGCTGCATTTGAAATGCAAACCTGGATTGATTTTAATCTAATGTGCTTTTTCTCTTTACATTTATGGTCCATATGGTTCACCTGCTAGATTTTGGGTCCAATAGCGGCGCATCTAATATTGAGTGGATCGAGGCTTTCTTGGAGCTGCTTTGGCGTGGACTGCGGCGTGTGGCACCGGGAGCTGCTTTGTCTTCCTTGGCATCGGCACATCCTGTACTGTCCTGAGGAATCTCAAGTAACTTCACAAAGCACACTTGCAAGGGCAACAAATTTTCAAATTCTCTGACTCCGGTCCATTGACAAAAATCAAAGTTCACATAGATTCACTGCAATCCGGTTGCTTTTGAAGAGCAACTCCGATCTTTGATCAGTCTCGATTTCCCAAGATGTAAACAGGTTGACCTCGATAAAATAGGGTGCAAGACAATTTTTAGCCTTGTGGCAGAGCTTTGATCCATTTACTCTCGAAGTTGGTTTTGCAAGTCTATGAGTCTATGCCATTATGTCTCATTATGTTCAAGATTTGAAGATATTTGAAGTGTTCTCTCTGCTTCCTGGCACGGTTTGCGAAGTTCACCGATTCCGCGGAGAGGCCTTGGTCTGTCTGGAAGAGTGTCAGGCCGGAATTTGGCAAAGCACAGGAGATCACAGGAGATCACAGGAGTCTTGCAGTTAAAATCTGGACCCAAAGCATCCAGTTTCATAGACCTCGGCTGTGTTTTTCACGAAGAGCACACCTGCAACTATATACTGCTTTTTCTCTGCATCAAGGGGGCTCGCCACATCACAGCTTCACATATTTTTACTCTTTCTGACATGTAATTACAGTGCTTCGGCAATTACTTTTGGTAATTACACCTTTGACATTTCTCTACTGGCCTGGCACAATATACTTTACTTTTTTGGCAGAGTCGCTGTTATGGCTTTTTGCCCTGGAAATTCAACTTTGTCAGCCCCTTCCTTCCCTTTTTCAAAGATAAGAATGGCTTTGAAGGTTCTTCCTCACACTCAGGCTAGGTTGGAGCAGATTCTTGCTGCTGATCCCTGGGACCAATGCTTTGGTAATTCTGAAGGCAAGTGTTCTTCGTCCCGGTGCTGTGGGCTTGCTCCTTTTGCTGCGCTTTGCTTGTTTACCTTTACCTCACTTCCCCCCTGTTCTGACCCGCAAGAGAAATCACAAAATACCAATCTGAGCAAATTATCAACAGCCATAGAGGAGTATACCCAGAGGTCTGTATATACATTCTACAAATGAGTCCAAAACAAAAAGGTGATGGGAGCGTTCATTTTTGGTGCGAAGGCCGGCCTATGCTCCAAGCTCCGGAGTTTATCTCCAGATCAATTGCTGGTGGGCTTGCAGCACAATTTGGAGCCGTGCGGATGTGTTGAGATATCAGGTCAGAGTGTTCTAAGGCATCCATCCAGAGCCAGTGCTCAGTTGTGGGATTACTTTTCCACAGGGTGATTGGCCAGGCAGATGCCAGGGGGCTTGCCCTGGAGTTATGCGCATCGCCACCGGTTGCCTTTACTTTTATGTCCAAGGCAGGACGAGTTTCATTACTGTGCTTTTTATATCTTTTTATTGGTCTTCTGGTCTTTTGGATGAGTTTCATTTGCTCTTGACGGGAAGGACAAGTAATGACAAGCGCAAACATCTCCAAGAACTCTTCCAGTCTGGGGGTCAGCCGTTGTAAGCCTGCTCAATCACCCAAAAAAACAGCTGGTGCCGACTCCGACGACCATCCAGTTTACTGTCAGGGGTGGTACGACGGACAGATGGGGACAGCTGTATTTTCGCTTGCGACTTACAAAAAAAGTGACAGATAAAAAAATCTTGCCTTTGGAAGGCGTACAGTGGAACTTGCAGTTGATTGAATGATTGAAGTCTTGGCTTTTGCATTTCCTGAGCAAACGCGACAGCCACAAGATTCTACGAGGTCTCACTGCATTGGATTGCATCAGGAAGGCGAGTTGGAGCCGTACCTGGAGCGCTGAGCATGCTGGGCATGCTGAGCATGCTGAGCATGGTCACCCTGACATTTCATGACATGTCTCAGATACTCAGTACGATCCATGGGAATCGATAGGAATCTGTGGGACTTTGCCGCCTCTGCACTCTTTTTTTCACAGTGGATCACAGGAGCTTCCATGGGAGTGTTGTCAACTTCATGACTTGCGGCTCATGCAGGCGGAAGCCGGAAGTTAACCATTCGCACTTTCCGCCTATATAGACAGATTTATAGCATATTTTTTTCCCGAATGCGTAGCGAAGGGTTCTTGTTTTCTTTCCTGGGGGTCTGGGGTGGTGGACTGTTTGCGGATCGTTTTCGTGTCGCGGGGCTCTAATCGCATCGTCGCGGTGTCTATAGGGAAAGTGAGAAAAGGTTATGTTTTGTGACGTGTGCAAGCGCATTTCGCGTGGCAGGCGTGGGACTTTGTGGCACTTCAGCGAAAGTTGCTTCGCGGGTCTCTAATTACGTTGCCGCGCTGTCTGTGGGGAAAGTGAGAAAAGGTTATGTTTTGTGGCGTGTGCAAGCGCATTTCGCGTGGCAGGCGTGGGACTTTGTGGCACTTCAGCGAAAGTTGCTTCGCGGGTCTCTAATTACGTCGCCGCGCTGTCTATGGGGAAAGTGAGAAAAGGTTATGTTTTGTGACGTGTGCAAGTCCCATAAAAGTGTCCCGCAAGAGTGCCCCACCAGAGTATGCCACAAGAGTGTCACAAAAAAGTGTCCCACACGATTGTCCGAGAAGAGTGTCAAGCAAGAGTGTTCTGCAAGAGTGGCTTTTGATGCGATCGAGCATCCCCTGTTCGCTTTTCATTGTTCTGTAGGAACCATTCTTCTACGTGAGGTTTTAAAAAATGCATTCGGGTTCGTGGCTTCTATCAGGCTTTTAGATTTTTTGTGCTCGCTTTTTCCAGAGCAAGGCTTTGTCTGCTTTGTCTTCTTTTTGCCAAAGCGAGCTTGAAGATGGCGGTTTCCATCCTCTCTGTTGTACACTTATTCAATGATTAATACTGAGTTGATGGGCTTAGCTGGCTAGCGAACCGTGGCTTCAACATTTCAGACTTCAAGTGCTTCCACACATACAGCTGAAATAACTTGAAAGCAGGCACATGAAGGTCTCGGGTTTGAGAACTTCCAGGCCTGATAGGTGACGAAGTGGTCAGATCTTTGGATTTCTTTAGCTTTAGATCATTTAGATCTTCATTTCTTCAGTGTGATTCCATCCCAGGCTAATGTAAGCTAATGTGTTCGGACAAAGGTGGTCGCGGTGCTGTCGATGGACCATGTGCAACTTCTACAACTGGGATGCATGTCACCACCTCAGTCATGCCTGTCCGGACATGCTGTGCGAAGATAGCCAAAATCAAGAAGGAGCAAGCTCATGCAAGGTTACTAATTATACCGATACCACAGAGTTCACGTGAGTTTTGACCAATGACGTCGCTTTTATATTTTGTGTAGTTTCCTACATACCATGTTCTCATCCCAAGATATTGCCGTGTTTTGCACAGTTGTGCAAGCTGATGCAAGCTGCACGTGATTGGCGTGTCTTTTCTGTCGGGCTCTGTCATTTGTGTCATCGCCTGCGGCATTTTTTTCCCTACTGTCCATGTTGTACTCCCATACAGCCCCGGAAAGCCCCATACAGTGTTCGCGAGGTCCGAGGGAGAAGTGCCACCGTCTTCACCAGCACTGGAGCTCCTATTAGATGGGCCATGCACACAGTTTCTATACAAGAACCATTTGGTATGCCTATTGCTATGTCCAGACGATTACTGTAAAATATAGTGACATGGAGCAAGTTTACTGAGTTGTTTGCCCAGGAGAAGCCAGAAACACAGGATTTGACAGTGCAATTTGATATTATATATATATACATACATACATGTCTTCATGACTTGTCATGTGGCCTTGGCTTTGACCAGGCATTTTCAAGAGTAAACATCAATTTGTGAATCTTTGGAGGAGAGATCTGTTTTCAGGTCATTGGAAGAGGTGCAAGAGACCTTCAATCACTGTATGAGTGTCGGCAGAGTCTCCTTCGTCACCGGATTTGCTCCACGTGCTTTGGAGGAGCTCAGCAACAATGCATGACACCCACATGTCCTTCTCACAGCCAGAGAGCCTTGGGACAGCCTTGGAGAGGTTGTGTTAGAAGCTTGAGGCTATCAAGCCTCCAGCCCCCCAATCGTCCAAGAATGGATCGACAGTGAAAGTCTGCCAAGTGAACAGGAGACTTCGCCGATTGCTCCGGCCAAGTGTCGAGAGGATCCTATCCTGGTGCAGGAGCCCCTAAATGTGCACAAATAGCCGCATAGCCGCATAGCCTCTTCCAGGGACAGAAATACCATTTTTGAAGAGGTTGCTTTGTCCCCACGAGAAGGTTTCTGGGGTATGTTCCGGAGGTTTCCGCCAGAACAGCAACCAATTTAGCCGTTGGGGAAGGTCGCCAAATCGCAGGGTTGCCAAATAGAAGGTTCCCTGAAAAGGAGGTTTCTCAATGAAGGGTTCTCGATTTTCTTCAGACCAGGGACAAGGTTTCGAAGAATGATGCTCAACATGTACCAACACCAATCTTACAAAACTGAGTTTGGTTCGGTTTACAAGAGTTGCACTTCCATTTCGTGGATTTTTCTTGCGGCAAACTGACCAAAAAACGGAAATGCTGGAACCTTGCGACAACTTTTCTTCAACCGTTGTTTCTGTTGGTTGAAATCCCGTCGAAAGTGACCAACAAATGCTAACACAAACCACAAGAACAAAAGAAGATAATCGGCAGATGCTTTCATGTTTAGCGGGTGTTTAACTTTGAAATGACACGACAACTGAAATTTGGGAGTGTGCATTTATAGCAGCGCTTTTGATTTTACCACTTGAATTTGTTTACATAGATGAAAACCACGCTAATCAACCAAACAGTATGTATCATGAATATACCAACAGTTACCAACACAAGCAAAAAAAGATCTAGCTCCTTCAAGAGGTGATCAGATGAACAGACAGCACAACTCAAAAGCCTGAACTGCAATTTTGTGTTGCCCTTTTTCCTTTTCCTTTCGTGTTGATGAAAACTGCAGTAAAAAGGCAACCACTTACCAACACAACGAACAGAAACAAATCAAACTCAAACTCTAGTACTCAGGATCGGAAAGAAAGCAAGGCCTAGCGTCCACTTGCACTGAAACCCTCAGAGGACTAGACGCAAACTAATTGTAAAGATATGTGAAAAGTACTTCACGTCGTTTCTTGATTAAGAAACACACGTGGAACGTCCTTTATTGATTGCCACAAAAGAGATCTAGACAACTTTCAAAACAATGCTTGCAATGCAACCCTCCGGAGCGAGCACCCGTAAATCCATTGCGAAGATATGTTACTTGCCTCGCACACAATAAATCACTCAAACGCAAGACTTCTTTTGTATGATGGGCTACCCCTCCCTGGTGCCAGCTGGGGTCAGCAGATTTCCATTGCCTTGACTGACCACCAAAGGAGTCACCGAAAGCTTCCACTCCGCTTGGCTTCAAGACAAGGGCCAAAATCCGTGAGCAGAAAAGCAGAGAACCAGTGGGACCATTGGCTCCTCTGGCTTGACCAGGTTTGTCAGTTTTGTGGTATTTTTTAGTGATGTTAAGCTATAATAGTTATAATTGATAATATAAGTTATTATTTTTTTTAAATAAAGAGTTGGCCTTTGATTTTGGGCCAATCCCAAGGTCCCACGACAATTTTGCCGGTAGAGTGCAGCCAGCGAGGCACCCCTTGTGGAAGAGTTGGACGAGTTCCCTGAGAAGCTTCCGATTGCGAAGAAGTTGGATACCAGGCAGGCCAAACGGAACAGCAGATTGTCCGAACAGTGCCAATTGATGACACATTTGAGCCTTCTTGCTTGCGAAGGTCGTTCTAGAAGAATTTAGCTTCATGCTGTGCTGGTTCTGGTGTGATCTCATGGTGGGTACTGTGACATTCCTGTTGTAAGGGATGTTGCAGCTAGTGGGATGGCATGTGGTGTCATGGTATGTGGTGCCCCCAGATTGTCTTGCGGCATGTTGATGTTCTGGCCGTAGGTGTTTTTTTGGCATGCCCTGATCATGTTATGGTTAATGGCTGATCTTGTCGGAGTGTCCTGGTCGATTTGTGCTGGATGTTGCAGTGGTGTCACGTTCTGGTGTTGCATTTCGGTGGTGTACTAGCAGTGTTGTGTAAAATCTTATGCTGCTGGGCTGTTGTGATTCGTGTCGTAGTGGTAGGGTCGCTGACTTGGTGCTAGATTCTGCCTTGCGTGATGTTGGGTTGGGTTGAGGCGGTGTCCCGAGCGATCTAGCAAGCCTTGAAAGGGTGACCCTGCTAGCAGGGTTTATTCAGGGCTTGTTAACCCAGCAACTTCAGATTCCTGGTCATGCTCCTGTTTTCGTGGTGACCTTCTGTTGTGATCGGGGTTGTAGCGTAGTTTTGGCTCTTTTACCAAGTCCCTGTGATGCTTCTTCCGATGATCCTACGTTGATGCTACTTATGTTCAGTGGGTTTGGCAGCGAAAAGTCCAGATTTCTGAAACTGTGGAGGTTTGTATTTCCACTGAGTAGTTTATTGTCTTGCTTTCGTACCATCAACATTCATTTTGTTGCATAGGAAACTTTTTCCAAAGACGTTCAATGTAGCATGGTGAGAAAGGCAGGATTGAACTTTTCCAAAGACTTTCAATCTGACGATCTATGCCTATGCCTATGCCTGTATAAATTACTCTTCTAATAAGAACTCCACCTAGTTGAGCAGCACTTTCACAGTCCAGCTGCGTGCGACGACAACACGGTGTGATGTCATGCGGCAGCGCAGAGGGCTCATCTCAATATGTGGTGAGTTTGCTCCTGGGACATGGTAAAAGATGGTAAAAGTAAGAAAGCCATAGAAAGCCAAGATGAATCCTTTGAATTGGTTCAGCGGTATGGGCACTCGGCAAAGCATCGTTGGCATCTTTGAATTTCACCCCCACCGTCCAGGTGAACTTCTGAATTTCTGTAGACTTCCATACCATCCTTTGCCAGGCCACAGAGAGCAATTGCTGTAAAGACGGCTGCAAAGCCAGGCGGTGTCCAATGCCATATTGTCATCAATGTCATACAGCATGCAATTTCAGGCAATATATATATAAGGCAATATAATGGAAGAGCGTATCGGTTCTTACTGAGTCATGAATGATTCATGGTGATTCTGTCGATGGGTATAGTTATACGTATATGCATATGTCTATGTATAATTATGCACACACAATATATATATATATAATATATATATACACATTTAGGTCAACTTCCTACTGACTGTACTTGGAGCTGAACGAGATGGTCAGTGGCCTCAAGAAACCATGGTGCGCGGCCAGGCAAGCGCAACACAGATGCGAAGAGAACGGAGCCATGCTCTTACTTTTACTTGAAGCGTGGAACGCTTTGCCTCAGCCAATTGCTTCCCTTGAAAAGTCTGGAGCGTGTCTTGAAATTATGGATTATCAAATTGCAGAGAGCTTCATTCATAGATCACAGTGTCAACAGCATTGGAAGAAGCAGTGGAAACCGAAAACTGTAGAGGCCGCCAAGACCGCCTCAAGATGCTGTGCAAAGGGTGCTTGAGGCCAAGTGCGGAGGTGTAAGAACTTCCATTGAAGTGATACATATATATATATATTTATGTGTATGAGGGATATGAAGTGACTAAGTGATGTTGATTTGATAGTGGAGTCGTTTGTCTGAGAATTGTTGTACGGTTGCTTGCCAGGAAGCATCTCGCTTGGCACGAGAGGCAGGGACAAATGACACGAATGAAAGGAAAGAAACGAATGAAGATGTTGTGCAAGTGTTGTGCAAATGTTTGGATCGCTTCGCCTTTGTTCTTCCAGCCTCTGCCTGCTTGGTGTGGTTTGTACCACCAGTTTAGTTGTCAGTTGACCCTCTATAGAGACTTGTCAGTTGGAGCCAATTTTGGTGTTTGTTACTGGAAGGATACTGTATCTTATTTTGCGGCCCAACGACCACACCATTGTCGGCCAATGGTCTTCTAACATGGGCCTGGTTTAGATTGTGCCAATCAGCCCTCCCCTCCAGACCATCCAGAGAAAAGCTCCATCCTACTTGTAGTCCAAAAGCTTGCTTTGAGGCCAATGTAGTCATGTAGTCATGATGAAACCCAACAATGAAAACAGCGAACTGAGTCACGTTTCAAGCACTTGGGCACTTTGTATTCTCAGCACAAGAGGAGCACCAGCGAAACTCACCCGGGCTTTTTGTTCTGCTTGTTGGAGTCTGTGCCCCTATCACCTCCAAGCACCCTTGCAACACGTTTCTCAAACTCGCAAACATTTGAAACGTTTTGTGTCTCTTTTGTCCAGTCGTGGATAAAGTGGTGCGAATGGAGCCATTCCAGCCTGGCTCAGGTGGCCAATGTGCAGAAGCAATTCCGTGAGAGTACACCGTTTGCATACGACTTTTGTAAGCTGGTAGACTCTGGCAGACTTGCAGAAGGCATAGCCTGGACTGGCAGTTTTCTTGGAAGCAGTTTTGGACTTTTGGACCTGTCTGTATAGCTTATATAATTTGGCGCTTTTCTGAGGCAAGGCGGCAGTAGATGCCCGTGGAGATGAGGCGCAAGAGTGAGAGAGCAGAGTTGGAAATTGATAAGATGAGTCACTGAAAGGAAGCAGTGCAACGATGGATTGACTTGGATTGACTTGTAGACGTTTGTAACTGTTTGTAACTGTTTGTAACTGTTTGTAACTGTTTGTAACTGTTTGTAACTGTTTGTAACTGTTTGTAACTGTTTGTAGTCGATGCCTGGCTTTATTTTGTCCGTTTTTCGTTTAACTGTGGAAGGCCACTGCACTCCTCGATGACATTGCCAAGGCAGGAGTGGAACAAGATTCGTGACCATGATTACAGGATATCAAAGGTTCGCCCTAAATTTTCTTTTCCTGTCATGGTTGAGCTTGCACAGATGTGGAGCTGATTCCTGAAGGCAGATATAGTATCAGTGCAACACAAACATCTGAATTCAATCAACTTGTTCGGGCCGTATGACATACAAGTCATACAAGATCCATCAATATCCTTCCTTTGTGGGTCCAGGACCTTTGTGCTTGAAGGTCGTTGCGAGATGTTGCGGGTCCAGGTGTACAAATCCAAATGACTCTTTTGAGGTTTTATGAAATGTATTCGGAAGCCGGTTTTTTGCAAAGACTACAGGGCCTGGACTCCGCTTCTTAGCTTCTTTCGATGCTTGTCATGTTTGGAAGTTCTCAGGCTGGCATTAAGCGCAATCGAGTGGACTGAGTCGACTGTGCTCGGCTATGAATTCAGAATAGTGACAAGGTAATTGCGAAACATTTACATTGCTCACTACAAACCCGGCAATGCGAATGATGAAGAAAAAGGTCAAGAGAATTTGACAAGTATAAGAAGCAATGTCGATGGTGTTTCCTTGATGTCTATCCCAGAGCCGGCAGAGATAAGGACCTTGCGCGTGACACTTGAACAGTGTCACAAGCCCCAAGTCAGTTGATGATTTTATTGGGGTTCATATTACCCATTACATTATATTGGGATAATCATATATAATAATCAACTGTGGGAATTCCAATAGGTTTTTGACTCTGCTCACTTGAATCTGGGACTTTCGGCGCTAGTTTCGATTCTTTCAGGCGGCATTCGGCGGCATGTCAATGATGTGTTGCGATATGTCTTGGTCAAGCAATGAAGCAGCCTTCACAGTGGCAGCTTCGCTTGAGTTGGGGTTCTGGAGCGTCAGATTCTGTTCCAGAGTGGGTTGCGGGGAAAGACCCAGCGAAATGCGAAACAGAACTGGAAGAAAATCTATTTCACACCGGAAGCTGTAAGTATTCAGTTTTGCGGCCGATAAGGCCTGGCACTCAGCTTGCTCGACCCCCTTGCATCTACTAGGGGTTATATAGCACAAGCACATGAAAGATATGCATGCTGTGATTTTTGGCTTGGTTTGATCATGTTTGATCAGGATGTCTGTAGAGATGCACAGCTGCTTAGAAGGTCTTCGGCCATGAGCATCATGGCATTGAAGTTAAAATGATAGAGAAGTATATACACATGTTGTGCGCAAACTGCTATTCTACACAGTATTGTCTTGTCGCTATGTGTTCTCTTTATGCAACTCTGTGCATGTCATTGTGCCCATCGTTTCCAATTTCGATTTCTTCTGCATCACCTTCGTCCTACGTATAGAACTCAGCTCCATTGGATGCACATTTTCCATTGTCGCTTGGCACATCCAACTTAAGGCCAACTGCAGGTTTCCGGATCTGGTGCAGAAACGACTCAAGGCCTACCAGTGCACATTCATTGCAGCAACCTGTCAGCATGTGAGCCCCGTGTTGAGAAGGACGTGAAACGAAATGGACAGAAATAGTGACAGACGTATGCACACATATCTATCTGCAAGAGCAGCACATAACGCAACTCCAGTATGTTGGAACTAACGCTGACGAGCTCGACATTCAAACGGTTCGGCATTTGAGTCAGAGTGTCTCAATACACAAAACACGATGAAACAATAGTTTAGAATAGTTTAGATATGTTCAAAATAAGTTTAGATGGTTTCATTTACATGGTTTAAAGATGCTTTCAAGATGTTTGAAGTTAGTGTCGTTTCTGCCGCGCTCAGGTATGTCTTGCAATCGGCCAGGGCAGGGCCAAGCGCAGGCGAGTTGTGCCTGGGATCTTCGCCAAACTTGTGGCCCAACCACACACTACGCACATTACCCCATTAGATTACATGGTTTACACGTGACACACTATATACCCTTGTATGCAAAATTATGCAGACACATGATGCAAGTTTGTTGCTTGTATCTTGAGAAATTCATAGCCATGTTCTGAGTTGCGACGTAGTTCAGTCTGTGCCTCTTGATTTGGGAGGGTTGCGCAATGGTCGCACCAGCCTCGTCTGCGAGCGTCCGACTTTCTCGTGTCAAATGCCACATCGAGTTTCCAAGACGTTGTCCAAGACCGCGGGGCAGACCTCGGCCTCAAGAGTTGGCTTGCAAAATTTGGAAAATCTGTACAATTTACACAATTTGCATGGTTTGCCATGCCCAGTTTTCATCACGTGTCCTTTTGCCTGGCTTTGGGGCTGTCCATGTGAGCCACCGAAACCCACGACATCAGAGACTTTTCATTTCGTGTTCTAAGTCTTCCACGTCCATCTCTGGCAAATGCGCATGCCCCTCACGAGGCACTCAGAACGACACTCGCGAGAGCGTGACAGAAATACTGCTGAAATTACCAGAAACAGAAGCATTCGATGGAATGCCTGAAGCAACTGTGCGACTTTTTCAAGCCTCAATCGCACGCTTTTCTAATCAATCTGAAGCCAAGTTGATTGTTCAGGCTCTCGGGAACTGGCGATCTGCACTCTCGAGAGGTACTTTGCCAGCATCAGAAAGCTGGCCTCCTGAACCTCTGGGATCTGAATTGCAAAATGCAATGAACGATCTCGACTTTCTTTCTCTGATATCAAAAAGCCCTGAACTCATCGACTCTGTTCTTCTTAACAGTCTGGACGCTGCTCAAAGACTGAGTCAATCCGAAAGCATAGCCTCTCAACAGCAAGACAAGGATGACACAGATGAGAAGGATCAGAACGGTTTCGGGCTGCAAATGCCAAGCTTTTCGACGGACTTCCTAAACTCAAACAGCGGGGTTGATCTCACGGGTGATGGGTCGGCGAGGCTGGATCTACAAACTGAACCTTCAAGAGCGCAGGGCAAAACGAAGCCACTCGAAGAGCCGGCTTTGGTTGACATGAACGAGACAGAAATGGAGATGCAGTCGGACATGAGAGAAGGGGATTCTGCAATGTTTTCAGAGCAGTTTCAAGACGAAGCCCAGCCTGGCGAGCAATCGGTCCAATCGACTTTGGCGCGTGAGTTCAACAAGTTCCTTAAGAAAATGAAAGCCGAAGCAGCTGAAGCAGCTGAAGGATCGGAAGGGTCGGAAGGGTCGACTGGAGAGAGGCCACTGAGATCTTGGAGAGAGCTTGCTGAATTCGAGAAATTTGAGAAGTCGAAGACCAGTGGGACCAGTGGGACCAGTGGGACCAGTGGGACCAGTGGGACCAGTGACTTCAGTTACTTCGCTTTGTATCGACGGCTCCTGGGCCGTTTGCCAGAGCTGCGAACCCTCATTCGGAAGATGGGCCGAAAAGCTGGGCTAGGTTCATTGCGTTTTCAAGAAGCTCAGAGAGAAGATTCAAAGGAAGGAGATGGGATTATACGCTCTCCACAAATGCCAGCAGAGACATCGGGAATCACTCGTTCAGATGGCAGCCTGTTGCTTCTGCCCAGCGAGCTTTTGCTTTTGGCATATGCAAATGCAAAACCTCCCCGCTCGAACTCTGCCGGAGCAAGAGCACTTCATCGACTTCGCAGAGCTGAGGCATCCCTGTTGAGCTACGAGCGCAGTGCTTGGTTGGAAGAAAAAGCTAAGAGTCTTCGCAGCAGAGAGTTTAGACCCGGCTTTGAAAAAGGTCCTCTGATTTGCTGTGTGGATACTTGGATTTGTTGAAGATGTTTTTTTAATTTTCCCAGCTTATAATTCCTCTACTTGGGGAATCTACTGGGATTTGTTTTTTTGGGTCCTTAAGCAAATCCAAGGATACTGAAATGACTTAACTACCATAGAAATTTGCTTGGAGGTTTTCAATTGCAAACTCCTTTATCACAGCTCCTTTTATGGTAAATTTCTATGACAGGGAAAGTATCCTTGGAAATCAAAGCAAATCCAAGGATACTTCGAGAAGTATGGCAGGGAAGGAGGAAGCAGTTGCAAAAGCTGCTGTCTTGGAAGTTTTGAGATTAGCCGAAACCGAAAGACGACGATGCCATTTGTTTTTTTTCTCTGGGCCAAATCAGCTTGAAGAACTGGAAATTCCTGCTCCGCCTATCCTGGCAGCAGCGTGGCAAGGTGTTTTGGACTTTCTTGGCCGATCTTTTCAAGGAAAAACGGACTTGGATGCACCTATTGCCGCAAGCATTCAGCGAGTGCAAAGTACCTACGAGAGCAAAGAGTCAGTGTGGCAAACCGCAGACATTCTATTCGTAACGGACAGCAAAGTCGAGGAACCTTCTCCAAGACTTGTGGAGAAGCTGCAATCCCTCCGTGATCATGGTTTACGTACTTTCGCATTGATTGTTCTGCAAGAGACCTCGTCCTCTGGGATGAAAGTGATGGATGAGATTTGTGACGAGGCCAGGATCAAAAGATGAAGAATATGCAGCAAGTTGAATTGGCTTGGCCAGAAATCATGTCTGTGTTGTAATATGTTTTGAATTCCTGCCATTGTTTCATCGCTTCTCAGCAGATTCACACGCACGTGAAGTCCCTGAGGTGAAGCACTTTGAAGCATTGGGTCGAATATCGTTTGGCTTTGGCAAAAGAGCCTGGTTTCAATGTTTGCCAAGATGAAGTCAGTTGTGAAAGAATGGAGCAACAGTTTAGCAAAGAATCAAAGGGATATTGGATGATATTGGATGATATTGGATATGTAAAGGCATGTAAAGGCTTCGGAAAAGGTCCCAAGGAGGAAAAAACAAAAGGCCACTTCTGAAAGCAAAGAGGAACGAGGCGAGCCATAGGAGCACAAGGTATGCCCAACTCATACTCAACTCATGCTCAACTGCTCAACTGCTCAACTCACACAAGTGGTTTGCGTTGTCTCATTTTGTCTTGATTTCGTCTCTTTGTTGCTCTGGAAGGCCCTGCAGAAACTTCCATGCAGTAGAGGCGTTTGATGGAGCTTTCTGGGATAGAATGGTGCCTCTAACGTCCTTGTAAGCCATCAGGGTGAGATGCAGGCTCTGTCCATTCGAACAAGCCGGCATTGGGATTTAACGGCGCAACCTTTGACATCATTTGACAAGTCCTGTATTGTAAAAAATAAAGTGTTGGAGGAGAATGTCACTAAAGACTTTGCAGATTTGTCCTTGTGAAGCTTGTGAGGATCACCACAGTGAAGTGGTTAGTCGATGGATAGATGAGCTTGCCTGGTCCTTGGTGAAACAGCATTTTGTTAAGCCTACTTCCAAGCCAGGCATTGCTGCGTAACAACCTCTCCCACTGTCACAACTTCATCTTGCAGTTTTTGACAGAACTAGAACATACAAGGACATACAAGAACACTGCTTTCCTTAATTGAGAACCAACGAAGTGAATTCCTATTTAACCGCCTTCGGCGTGTTCCGCCGGCCACCATGGAAAGAGCTATCCTGTAAGCTGCAAACAGCACTTGCACAGGCCCAGCAAGAACATTGTTTTTGTGTAAAACATGGTGTTTGTGGATAACACAGTTTTTGCGTAAAACAGCTCTTTGTGTAAAAGAGGGTTTGGAGGCAAATGGGTTTTGGTTTTGTTCAAACCACGGTTTAAGTTTAAACCAAAGCATGTGTGTAAACCAGGGTTTTGGAAAAGGCCATGTTGAGAAAGGCTTTGGAAGAGGCCATACTTAGAAAGGTTATGCTTGTAAAAGGTGTTCGGCACAAAAGCCAGTGGATCAAGTATTGGATTTAAGAAGCGACAGAGCAAACCGATGGCAAACACAACAAAAAACGGAAACAACCATCGAAATGACAGCAAGATGTGCAAAACCAAGCCGGTGTTGAGCGAGGCGTGGGCAGAGTTGAGCCCACCACAATGTAAGGAAAGATGAAGACGAAACGAAGAAGAGCTAGGTGGGGGGAGGGAGGAGGGGGGGAGGGGGGGGTGGGTTCAAGTTAGACGAGGCAAAAATCCGCGCCAAGGGGAAAGTCTAGACTCCAGACAAAGACAAAGACAAAACAGACAGTACAACTACGAACAAGCAAGATCCACAAGACACGCTGGAGGGCCGCCGGATTTATTTGATGAGATTGCTCAGGTTGTTGGGCAGGGTTTTTGCCCTTGGGCAGCCCCTGCGAAGAGTGCAGGCCACATCAGAGTTGTCAGTAGTGAAGCCGTTGGATCCTCAAACTGCACCGTTCAACCTTTGCAGCTCCGCATCTCACATCTCGCATCTATTTCTCAACTATCAACTCGATAAGACTCGATAAGACCCGATAAGACTCGATATTGTTCGAATATGTCCTAATGCTTTTCGTTTTTCTTCTTATGTTCTGGGAACATCTTGGAACTATATCATGTTCTTGGAACCTCAAAGCACATGACATGAGGCAACAGAAGACGGGGTGATTACAGACCTCCTGGCAGAGGCAGGCAGCGCATGTATTTACATCTTGACAGTATCAATCTCCAAATAAATCTCAATTGACAGAGCTCCTGATGAATTCTATTCGAGGAGCCACGGATGTTGCCGGACGGATCTCAATGACATCAATATACAGACATTGTTGCAACGTGCCAAAATCAGATCCAATTAGATGCAATTAGTGTCAAACAATCTTTCAACACTGCATTCAGTTTGTAGATCTTCGCAATGCTACTCTGCTACTCTGCCAGGCCCGTGAGCTGCCACGTGGAAACCTGCCCGAGCATGACGGTACCACAGGCACTGACAGATGCCGAGGTAGCTCTGTTGCGACTCTATTGAATCCGCGTGTTCCATCCGTGTATTCAAATGTTTGATAATTTTTGCACAAATTGCCACAAGAGCCCGTTGACCATTCCATGACTATCATAGGGTTTGGTGTACAAGTGTGGACAAAGCGTCAAAGCGTTGAACATTGGCCCAAACGACTTTTCTGGGCGGAACCCATGATTGGCTAGCTAACGGCCAGTACTGTGGCCAGACAGAGCCCATGGTCGCCATGGCTCGACCCTTCGCGCTTTGGCATTCCCTTTTCGTGTGCACGACCGCACTTACTGCGTTTGATTCAGATATTTTGGGGTGCTTGGAGAAGGATGATTGCCCTGACTCAATGCGCCTGCTGCAGAAGAGGTCAGAAACAACGCCAAAAGATGTGCCTGCAATTGCCAACACTGCAACAGATACAGCAAATCAACGCATTCAGCGCACAGAAAGCTCTGCAGAAAGCTCTGCCGAAAGCTCCACAAAAAACTCCGCAGAAAGCTCTGGATGTCAGGAAATAGTTGATCTCTCTGGTCAAAGACTTACAACCTGGCCTTGGGACGCGACAAATTGCCAATCCCTGCAGATTCTCGATTTGAGCAACAATTTCCTCGAGGATGTGCCAAAATATGCTTTCAGCAATACTCCAAATCTTCGAATATTGAGACTTAACATGAATCGCATTACCTCCTTTCCTGCGGTGACGTCACTGAACAAGCTCTGGGAGCTGGACTTGAGCTTCAACAGTATTGAGACTTTGCCCAAGGGAGCTCTGACAGAGAATCGCCAGCTGACAACTTTGAATCTGCGTCATAACAAACTCACACATTTACCATCCTTTGACTACTGGCTTGGCCAGCAAAATGAACTCAATGTCTTGATCTTAGCGAATAACCAGATTACTTCCATCGATGCCTCTGCGGCAGGCGGGACCGACATTTTGGATTCTTTGGATTGGCTTGACGTATCTGGCAACAAGCTGAGCTACTTGGGTGCAGATTTTGCCAAAGACGTTAAGGGTGTGGACAACGTGGTGCTGACGGGAAACCCATTCTCATGTCGCGGAATAGATGTCAATTGCAACACGAAATGGGCAGTTGAAGACCAGAGCCGCTTAGCGCTGCCTGTGAATTGGTGTTCATTGCCCGCGTGCTATCCAAATTTGATTAAGAACAATGAGGGCCACATGAACGATAGCTTTTCGTGGGAGAAACCAGCTGTTGCAGTTGCTTGACTCTTAGCACCAGGTACAGCAATTCGACCTCAGGCATTCCACAAAGATTTGGAATCCTTTGGGCCTACCAGCGCAAGAGCCGTCGATCGAAATACAGTAAACTAAAATAGACGAGCACGAACTTCCAGAACGTTCTTTGCGTTGTTGCAGATGTTTAGACAAATTGGTCAAGAGTTGCAGGTCCAACGACAGTGGTCTTAGTGCGCGGGCGCTTATAAGGTGATGGGACATTCCGCGTCAAGTGGCTATCTCATGTCAGGAGAACCAAGAAATGAGTTTTTTTTCCTCAAGTTGATTGAAACCAAACAAAGCCAGCAGACCATCTCGAAACATGGAAAAGGAACGAGAATACAAAAACATTAAAGAGGTTGCTCCTAGCAAAATATCATTCCGAAAAAAGATGTGCCAAAGAGCAATCCGGCATCCTTTGACAAAACAAAGCAGTTGAACGAAGCATGAAGGCCAGGCATGTAGACTATACAATGTCGACTCTTTTCCCCGAAAAGGCAGCATGACAGTAGACTATATAGACTTTTTTCCCCAAACAGTGTGTCCACACTGAGGGGTTCTTACAGTAGGTGTAAAGGCCGGTGCTTGATCAGGGTGCTTGCTCTGGGCGCGAGCCCTTTTCCTGTGAATTTCCGTATGAAGTGGCTCTTGTGCAATCTCGACATGCGTTTCGACTGCGCCGGCTCGCACAAAGTGTGTGTCCGCATTCTGGGCTCACTCTGGACTGTGGCACTTTACCTGTGAATTTCCGTATAAAGTGGCTCTTGTGAAACGTTGAAATACACTTCGACTGCACATGCTCGCGCAAAGTGTGTGTCCGCGTTCTGGGCTCAAGCTGGGGCGCGGCATTTTTGCCGTAAATTTCCTTTGAACTGGCTCTTGTGAAATGTTGACATGCATTTCGACTGCGCAGGCTCGCACAAAGTGTGGTCCTAGGTTCTGGGGCGCGGCATTTTTCCTGTAAATTTCCGTATAGAGCGGCTCTTGCGACGTGTTGCAGTGCCTTTCGATTGCGCAGGCTGGCACAAAGAGTGGTCCTAGCTTCTGGTCTGCGACATTTTACCTGTGAATTTCCGTATAAAGTGGCTCTTGTGAAATGTTGAAGTGCATTTCGACTGCGCAGGCTCGCACAAAGTGTGGTCCTAGGTTCTGGGGCGCGGCATTTTTCCTGTAAATTTCCGTATAAAGCGGTTCTTGCGACGTGTTGCAGTGCCTTTCGATTGCGCAGGCTGGCACAAAGAGTGGTCCTAGCTTCTGGTCTGCGGCATTTTACCTGTGAATTTCCGTATAAAGTGGCTCTTGTGAAATGTTGAAGTGCATTTCGACTGCGCAGGCTCGCACAAAGTGTGTGTCCGCGTTCTGGGCTCATGCCCCACAGCATCATCTTCCTCCTCCTCAACATCATCATTTTCAACATCATCATCCTCAACATCATCCTCCTCAACTTCATCATCCTCCACCTCATCTTCCGCAACATCATCATCCTCCACCTCATCTTCTGCAACATTATCATCCTTTTCATCCCCCTCCTGAACATCATAATCCTCAACATCATGATCTTCCTCCTTCTCAACATCATCATCCTCAGCATCATCATCCTCCATCCCATCTTCCGCAACATTATCCTCCTCCACCTCATCTTCCGCAACATTATAAATGGGCTAGCGCCCTGGTGCCGCCGACCTCCCCATTAAGGGGGGGCTAGGCAGGGGTCGGCGGAGATACACACATATACCTAGAGCACCCTCAGGCTAGAATTTGAGCCTGAACGTGTTCGGACCGTTTTTTCTGCCTGACCTTTGAAATGTCGCCTGCCTCTAAATTCTCGCCTGGAAATGCTTTCTGCAATTATGCTCAAGATGGCATTTCCAGCCTGAATGGACAATCTCGCCTGAATTGATGTTCAGGCTAAAAGACAGCCCGCCCCCCAAAATGGCTACTATTTGGTTTCAGCCTCAAATTTCCGCCTGAGTGCCTGGTCGAAGGTGCCGCGGAGCGTTTTAGGCATTTGAGGGCGGGCAAACGGCAGCCTCGAACGCCGATAGTCGCAGATGGCTGTGGCCTGAGTGCCTGGTCGAAGCTGCCACAGAGCCTTTGAGGGCGGGCAAACGGCAGCCTCGAATGCCGATAGTAGCAGATGGCTGTGGCCTGCGTGCCTGGTCGAAGCTGCCGCGGAGGGTTTTAGGCCTTTGAGGGCGGGCAAACGGCAGCCTCGAATGCCGCTATAGCAGCAGATGGCTGTGCCTGGTCGAAGCTGCCGGTGGAAGCTGCCGCGGAGGGTTTTAGGTTTGAGGGCGCGCAGACGGCAGCCTCGAACACCGATAGATGCCGATAGTAGCAGACGGCTGTGGCCTGAGTGCCTGGTAGAAGCTGCCGGTCGAAGCTGCCGCGGAGGGTTTTAGGCCTTTGAGGGCGGGCAAATGGCAGCTTCGAACGCCGATAGTAGCAGATGGCTGTGGCCTGAGTGCCTGGTCGAAGCTGCCGGTCGAAGCTGTCGCGGAGCGTTTTATAGGCCTTTGTGAGGGCGGGCAAACGGCAGCCTCGAACGCCGATAGTAGCAGATGGCTGTGGCCTGCGTGCCTGGTCGAAGCTGTCGCGGAGCGTTTTAGGCCTTTGAGGGCGGGCAAACGGCAGCCTCGAATGCCGATAGTAGCAGATGGCTGTGGCCTTCCTGCCTGGTCGAAGCTGCCACAGGGCGTTTTAGGCCTTTGAGGGCGGGCAAACGGCAGCCTCGAACGCCGATAGTAGCAGATGGCTATGGCCTGCATGCCTGGTCGAAGCTGCCGCGGAGGGTTTTAGGCCTTTGAGGGCGGGCAAACGGCAGCCTCGAACGCCGATAGTAGCAGATGGCTGTGCGCCTGAGTGGCTGGTCGAAGCTGCCAGTCGAAGCTGCCGCGGAACGTTTTAGGCCTTCAAACGGCAGCCTCGAACGCCGATAGTAGCACCTGGTCAAAGCTGGCGCGGAGCGTTTTAGGCCTTTGAGGGCGGGCGAATGGCAGCCTCGAACGCCGGTAATAGCAGATGGCTGTGGCCTGAGTGCCTGGTCGAAGCTGCCGCGGCGGGTTTTAGGCCTTTGAGGGCGGGCGAACGGCAGCCTCGAACGCCGATAGATGCCGATAGTAGCAGATGGCTGTGGCCTGAGTGCCTGGTCGAAGCTGCCGGTCGAAGCTGTCGCGGAGGGTTTTAGGCATTTGAGGGCGGGCAAACGGCAGCTTCGAACGCCGATAGTAGCAATGGCTGTGGCCTGCGTGCCTGGTCGAAGCTGCCGCGGAGCATTTTAAAGCTTTGAAGGCGGGCAAACGGCAGGTTGAACGCCGTAATAGTGTAGCAGATGGCTGCGGCAAACCCAGATAGCTATGGCCTGAGTGCCTGGTCGAAGCTGCCGCGGACGGTTTGAAGCGTTTGAAGGCCCGGAAACGGAACAGGTTCCACACCTGCGGTGGTCCCAGGCGCCGCCCCTGCCTTGGCAAAGGCCGGGGTCGGCGGATTTTCGGTACGGGACGGCGTTGTCGCAAAGAAAAGTTTTGTTTACCAGTGCCCATTTTGCAATGGACTTGTGAACAGCAACGTGAAGACAGGGCGAATCGACCATCGATCTGTGTGCAACAATCAATTTTACGTCAAGGACGGTGAAGTCAGCAAGCAGACACGGCGTCATGCGCACAGTTGCCCGGTCTGCTCCACTGTTGTTTGGTCATCGCTGTCATGTGGCCGCATTGCTGTCAAGCATGACATGCCATCGGGAAAACCATGTCACAACAAGCAGTGGCACGTTCCCGAGAAAAAGACAACGAAAACAAAAAAGAAATAAGAGCCTCCTTAAAAGGACACTGCCACGGCCTCAGGGACTTGTTGGAGCTGCAGGAAAGGTCTGCCGCGGCCTAAGTGGCGCCTGGGAGCTGCAGGGGAGGGTTTGTCAGAGTTTTGGCGAGTTTTGAAGGCTGGCAAACGGCAGCCTGGGACCTCCGTAAAAGGACACTGCCACGGCCTCAGGAACTTGTTGGAGCTGCAGGAAAGGTCTGCCGCGGCCTGAGTGGCGCCTGGGAGCTGCAGGGGAGGGTTTGAGGAGTTTTGAAGGCTGGCAAACGGCAGCCTTGAACGTCCATAAAAAGACACTGCCACGGCCTCAGGGACTTGTTGGAGCTGCAGGAAAGGTCTGCCGCGGCCTGAGTGGCGCCTGGGAGCTTGGGGAGTTTTGAAGGCTGGCAAACGGCAGCCTTGAACGTCCATAAAAAGACACTGCCACGCCCTCAGAGACTTGTTGGAGCTGCAGGAAAGGTCTGCCGCGGCCTGAGTGGCGCCTGGGAGCTGCAGGGGAGGGTTTGGGGAGTTTTGGCGAGTTTTGAAGGCTGGCAAACCAGCCACGGCCTCAGGGACTTGTCGGAGCTGCAGGAAAGGTCTGCCGCGGCCTGAGTGGCGCCTGGGAGCCGCAGGGGAGGGTTTGGGGAGTTTTGAGGGCTGGCAAACGGCAGCCTTGAACGTCCATAAAAAGACGCTGCCACGGCCTCAGGGACTTGTTAGAGCTGCAGGAAAGGTCTGCCGCGGCCTGAGTGGCGCCTGGGAGCTGCAGGGGATGGTTTGGGGAGTTTTGAAGGCTGGCAAACGGCAGCCTTGAACGTCCTTAAAAGGACACTGCCAGGGCCTCAGGGACTTGTTGGAGCTGCAGGAAAGGTCTG